ATATTAAGGTGAATAAAGTAATTTATATATAACCTATGTACGTGGAATATTGTTTTAAATTTTCAATCCTTAGCTATAAAAGTTGAACATTTTATAAATTTTTATTAAATTTCAAATGTGATAAATTTTGTCAAAATTTGAACTTTAAATGCTTATAAAAAAAATTGCGCCTATGTATTTTTAATATTTTTCAACGGCTATTGTAACAATATATCAGGGGCCTTGCATTAAATTTTCAAGCATTTTATTGACATTCATAGAAAAAAAGACTAATACAATTTGAAATAGAAAATGTTCCTAAACAGTTCAAAACAAATGAAAATATTTTGAAAATTTTATCGTGTATAGAAAATGCAAATATAAACGACCAGTGTTAATTCGATTTTGTAGGAAACTGATTTTGAGTAAAAATTCCCGTTTTTCCTTAATTTTTATGTTGTTTTTCCCCGCGCTTTTGAAAACCATTGTGAATTTTAAATGTTCACCTCCCCAATGCACCATCCATATTCACCTTCCCATCGAACAAGATACTAAAGTTGAAAATCAAAGCATTATTTTGACTACTTATAGTGTACACAGACACACAAAAAAAAATAAATAAATAAAAAAATGAAAAAAAAAACACACATCATTGTAAAATCAATACATTCATCATTCCACTCAGAATCTAAAAGAATATAATACAAGTCGTACCTATATATTGTGTATTTTACTATAACATACTGAAAAAATGGTTTCTGCACAAACCTTACCAAATAAGTATTTGAGTATCTATAGTTATTACTTATAAGTCAAGTTCTAGGTGCACCACGATTTGAAATTTATTGCTCCAAGGACAAATCGTTATGGTTACGTAAGCTATTAAATAATTTAAGTTATCTTGAATTTTAATGTACGGTTTAAATGTTATAGCTACTCTAAGTTTATTTAATTATACTTCCAAACATATTTAATAAATAATAACACAACCCACTGATTTATAATAATAAATACAAAAGTATAAAGTTTGTTTAAAGTTTAAACAACACTATAACAGTATTATATTACATTCGTCCAGTTTTCGTTACAAAAACTCCACACCTTCTAAATATTTAATGATCTAACCAATGTAAGTTTGTTACCATTATATTATATGTATACATCTAATAAAGAGTAATGTGTTTTAGCCAAATAGATCCCTCGTTTTTGCGAAAAGCATCTCCATAAATTAATCATACCATTAAAAGAGATCAAAAGTAAACATGGAAAAATGATCAACATGTGAAAATATTGCTAATAAATATTCATTATTCTATTTTTAAACTTTAATGGTCCGTACAAATTTGGTAAGAGACAGAAACAAACTCATGAAGACATTTGAGAGTGAAATTGATAGCTTTTCATATAGGTAGGTACCATATTATGATGTTTTACTCAAACATTACAGTGAAGATCACATGATTTAAATTATATATATATATTGGCAGAGAAATATATTATAATTTATTTTATTTTTAAATATTTAACTTGTAGTGTACATTAGTCATTAAGTGAAAAATAATATAAAATATAAAAGTACCTATCACATAATTTTTTAAAAAATAGTTTTGTTTTATAATTTATGTACAATATCTCAAATTACTCAAAATGTTTTATAAAAAGCTGTTCATATTTAATTTTAATTTTTTTACGTTCAAGTGAATTATAATTGTTATTTTAGTGTTGCTCAATTACATAGTTATATAAAAATGATTATATTAGAATTCCACATTGAATCACAAGAATGAAACTCGATAGGGTTTCGCTGTCGTATTTATAGTAATTTTTAAGAATGTAATCAGTTTATAATTTTTAATATGGTTTGAAAAATCATCATAAAAAAAAAAAAAATATATATTTAATTAAAACCGTAATATGATTTTTAACGAAAATTATCTCAAAAAGCTGTCCAGTCAGTGGTTTTAAAATACGATAATCTTCTTGATTCGTCTACTATAATAAAGTAAAATAATTGAAAACCACTGGAGGTTTTAATCAGCAACCTGAATGTTGAATAATATTATTTTATCTTTAACAATAGAAATGTGAGCGATTTTTTTTAATGACACGGTTTTTCACTGCGCTACGGCGACAAATCGTGATTTTGATCCAACTATCAAATTCGTTATTATCATAATTATCATTGCACAATATTTCACAAATTACCATTTTCGTTCTTTATAAAAGTTTAATATACTTACATAACCAAATTTTCAACCGTTTATTACATGTTTTACACATACGCATGTGAAATAAATGGCAATACAAATCCAACGATTTATTTTTTGTTGCATTTAACAAGAGCTAACGTTTTTTTTTTATCCTTTGCTGAAATCAGAATATTGATTATGTCTTATTATGTTAGTGTAATAAATAATCCTTCTCGTGTCTTTCATCATTCAGACATCGGGACTTAGTGTTTTTGCATAAATTTGTTCCAGCAGCAGAAAATAACAGAGTTGAATAACGCCAATAGCCAAACCTCTTTTGATAGAAGTGAGCGAATGACACAAAAATAAATTTTAAAGTTTTAAAAATTATTTCAATGTCCAATTTCATATAGCCAAACATTTTGATCAATATGCCTATATTACTCCAAGTTTGAATTGATTTTAATTTATAAATTATAATCCTTATAATGTTGATAAAGGTTTAAATAATAATTTACTATAATTTATTCCAGAAATATTTTTCATTACATAGGTATTTATATTTTTTTAGAAATATTAATTTATTACTTTTATAACTAGGTACCTTTATTCGTTATTACTAATAAGTAGGTTATAACCAATAAAGGTAGCGTTTACACGATATAAAAATATGATAAATAATATACATTATATATAAACGATGTAATAAAGATATCAAATATTTTTTTAAAGTAAAGTTAACAGTTTTGATGAAAAACATTCAAGTGAAGTATGGAAATTAAATTTTATTATAAAACCAGGTAGTCCACCATTTTTTTTTTTTTTAAAGAATGAAACGTTTATTAATTTAAAAGTGCACAACATTTTTTTTTAACACGCAATGAAGTACAAGAAATTGATCAATCATGTGTTCCAATAATATATGATTTTATAATTAGATAACAAAGACGAGTGCATTATTACAGGTTTAAAAGCTGATTATTAAACTAATCTAATAAATAACTATAGTTTAACTATCTATTGTGTAATAACTTAAACGTTTTAACATTAATGTGATGCATTATCTAAAATTGTTGTTAAATATAATTAATTGATTATTTTTAAGTTTAGCACAATGATTTTAAATAAATATAAATAAATCAATTATTGAAAATATGTAATATGCCTGGCAAATTAGTTTTCAATAAAAAGGAATACTATTATGCGTTTTTAACAAAATGTTTAGTTATTACTTAGTACTTATTACATATAGTATTTAATAATATTAAAAAAAATTTATTATAAATTAGGTAATTTAATGTTTTTCTTCATATTGACTTAAGAAACAGTTATGTTTATGTATTGTTACTATTTACTTTTAACTTACTACTTGACGTTTATAATGTTGACCTAGCTTAATCAACTCATTTTATGTTATTTCAGTAACATACCCACTTTCGAAAAATAACCCATACCTATCAAATTCCACATCTTTCTTAGATTATTTGAGTTCTGCTTACTTCCATTATTATTTTATGATTCAAATATTATTGATCTTCGAAAATATAACACTATAATCAAGCAAATTATACAACTCTTTCAAACACTTTTCGTTCTACTATCGATCGATTGAGAACGTATTAACTCTTTTTGCTGAAACGTTTTTGAAAATACTTAAATTTCACACAAATCTAACCTCAGGTGCACACGAATTTCCTCCCATGATTTTTTTTAAAAAAGTTACTAGAAAATTAAATCTTGATTTTCACAATTTCATTCATGCTTGAAATGCCTCCTATTTTAGATAGTGTATATCTTATACTGGAATCGTCTTTAATAGCTATAATCATTGATTATAAATACTAATTATTATACTATTTATAATCTATATAATAAGAATCTAACTTGATTTTGGAGACGAAGGAAACCGGTTTTGAGAGTCTATTACCTAAGCGCTTCCTCTCATAATAATAATAATAATTATATGTATAATTAGATTACCTAATTACCAATTAAAAAATATATTCACCAATAACGATAGGTATCTGTTTCTTTTTTTTTCTTTTTTTTCTTTACTTTATAATTGACCTATAATAATGTTTCTAATACGCAAGCGCATTCCTTTATTTATTCGATCGATGAGATCGACATCTCCAACTCCAAACCTTCAGTCGATTGTTGTACAGCGTTACTAACAGATCTAATTTTTTTTTTCAAGTGTGATTTAAATATATTATTAATTCAATAATAATAATTATTATAATAATAATAATATTCATTATTATGAGTAATAAAAGGTGCATCGTTTTCCATTGTGAAAATCGTTCAAATTGCATTCAGGCAATTTCATCGTATGCAATTCCAAATGGAGGAGAGAGGTATTTAATAACAGCTAATACTTAATAATTGTAATTAATAATTCTATAATGTGTACTCACCTAATGATTTAAATACTTATAGGTTAATACAATGGCTTAATAGTTGCAACAGGACCGATTTATTGGAACGTGAAAACCATATTCGTACGAATAATAAAAACTTTAGAGTGTGTAATTGTCACTTTGAAACCAATATGTTTTTTAATACACAGCGTAAGAGGTTAAGACCAAATGCTGAACCCACATTATTTGGTATGTGGTATATATACATTATTAAATAATATATCTGTTTATTATACTTCGCCTATGTTTCACTACTATTTTTTATTATAAATGCATATACTTTATAGGTGTTATACCGTTCAAGTGGGTTAAATTCCGGTCTGCCTATTTATACCAACCTAAGCATCCATATTATGACGACGATGATGTTTGTATCGGTGTAATGGATTTAATTTGTTAATATTGCAATGCAATGAAATTCAAAGGTAGTTTATTAGTGTATACATTTTTAGAATTTCGAAAACTTTTTATATTATTTTCTTAATTAAAGGAGAATCTGCTGGTATATGTTGTTCAAATGGAACTGTTCGTATTCCTAATATTGATGAACCACCAGAATCAATGGAAACTCTTTTGGAAAGTTCAACAAGTATTTCAGAATACTTTTTAGAAAATTTTGGAGTGGTAGAAACTATTGTCGAAAATGATATGCCTACATTTAAAATAAGAGGTCAAGTGTCAAGTATCATTTAGCCGGGTCGTTGATGCCTTTACCAAATACAAATCATAAATATTTACAAGTTTATTTTATGGATGACGAAGAGGAACAAATTTATGCACGAATGGGTATTTGCAGTGAATTGAATAAAGGTAATTGTATTGTATAATATATTTGTTGTTTAAAACGTTTTAATTTATATATTTATACATTTAGATATTATAAGAGATTTGCAATTATTGTTACATAATATCAATCCTTACGAAGTTCAAAACTGCATTGGATCAATGGATATGCCCACTGATCAATACCGATTAGTCATAAATGCAAATATGGTTCTTTAAGGTCAACATAGAGGTAGATTTAATGCATCATCTCAAGTAGAAGTGGCAGTAGTAATGATTGGAGAAGAATATGGAAATCGCGATATAATTTTATCTAGAAAAGACGAAAAGTTACAACGAATAAGTGAAACTCATAGGTAAATTCCTTTTAAAGTGTATACACTGTACATTTTTTCTTAATTTTTATTTATGTGTTTTTTGGTCTTATGATTCTCTAGAATATCCACTGATATTTCTACACGGTGAAGATGGTTATGCTATTGATATTTTGTCAATTAATGTTAATTTAAATGAATACAATAGTCATAAAACTGTTTCTTCAAAACAGTTTTATGCTAATAGACTGATGGTGAGGCACCTAATCATATCTACAATCATTTACATAATTATAGAAAACTTATTAATAAATATTGGGTAAGTAAACAATATTTTTTCAACTTAATCAAAAACGTCGCATGTATAAACATTATAATAATACAAAAAGAATGTAATTTTTTTTAAAGGTTGATATGTATCCCAAAATAGAATCAGAACGGCTTTTATTTATACGGAATAATCAATCAAAATTAATAATTATATTCATTTACGTGATGCTATAGAAAATGATGGTCACGTGAATGACTTGGACAACTTTTTATTTTACCTTCTTCATTTACAGGAGGTCTAAGGTAATAAAATATTTTGTATTTTATAACTTAAAATTGCTACGAAAAATGTACTGTAATATTCATTTTAACAATCTAAAATATTGTAGGTACATACTATTAATTATTAAATACATGCACGAAAAAACTATGGATGCCATGACTTACGTTCGTAATTTTGGGACTCCAAATTTGTTCATTACATTTACATGTAATCCAAATTGGATGGAAATAAAAAGAGAACTCAAACATGGTCAAACTACACAAGACAGACACGACATTATCGCTAGAGTTTTTCATCAAAAAATTAAAGTTCTAATGAACTTAATTGTGAAACATCGGATATTTGGTGAAACTCAGTGTTATATGTATACTGTTGAGTGGCAAAAATGTGGTAATAAATGAATAGTATTATTTATTTATTTATTTAAGGTCTTCCTCATGTTCATTTACTGGTATGGTTAGTTGATAAAATTTGACCAAATGATGTCGATGATGTAATAAGTGCTGAATTACCAAACCCCGATATAGATCCTGAACTATTTGAAATAGTTAAAAAACACATGGTGCATGGCCCATGTGGTTATATGAATCCAAATTCTCCATGTATGGGAGAAAACCAAAAATGTTCAAAGAGGTAATAATACATTTTAATATTCAATATACATATTTAAATCTATTTCATATTAATATAACTATTATAAATTTATATGAATATTTAGTATATTTATAAAATTTCATCATTTGTACTTATATTTTGTATTTGTTTAAGTGTAGGTATTTAGTTATTTTTTAGTGCAAAAGCGCATAGTATTTATTAAACTATTTTAGCAATAATGCAGTTTAAACTTTAAACTTCCTCATATACCTATACTATGCAATTTTTTTAATTATTGTCTTTTTTTAAATAATAACGATGGTACCTAAAGTTAAATTTTATTGATAGGACTTTCCGTGTAAGTTATGAGTAAAAACTTAATTTTCAAGTTATAAGGTAGATATATTCAAGTGCCATATGTAAATAACCTACTTAAGGTGGTTTTGCGTAATAAATCGTAATTAGTTTAAGATTAACATTATTTTGCATTTTTATTCTATACATAGGTATGCTAAGAAAAGCATATTTAATAAAAAAATTTCATTTGTTCTATTAGTTATCCGAAAGCATTTACTAACATGTTAGTACATGCAGTACTATTACTGAAGATGATGGATATCCTTTATACAGACGAAGGGATTTTGGAAGTGGTGGATTTAAATCAACTGTATTACGAAATTCAACATTGGTAGAAATTGATAACAGATTTATTGTTCCATACAATCCATTACCATTGAAAACATTCAATGCTCATATTAATGTTGAATGCTGTCATTCAGTAAAATCAATTAAATACATTTGTAAATATATTAATAAAGGGTCTGATCAAGCCTTAAGAATTTTTCAACAATCTTACTAGAATTTTATGAATTGAAATATGAATATGAAAAATTCAGTAATTTTAATTGAAACTTTGACTGGTTGCCATTTAGTCAGTTTTGATTTTAGAGCTATAGTAAAAAGGACCAAATCGACTTAAAAAAATTCGGTCTATCCGAATTTGGTATTCAAAACACCTGTAGCCATTTAAAAAAATGCAAGTTGTATTGCGCATGCGCACACGGAAAGATCTAAAAATGTAAAAATCATCAAGAAATGTGTATTTATGTATTCCCTATCCCCTCCCGAAAACCGCATATTAATCCGATGTTACTGGACAGAATTATTTAGTGTTACCTTTAAAAGGAATCACACTGTATTTGTTATTGTTATTATGATTATTAACTATTTATTGATTTGTTTGCACTTGCATTTTTCCATTTGAAATATATATATTATACATTGAACAAATAATTTATTGTTACATTTTTCCTACCTTATCTCTATTCTATAATAAAAAGAATAAAATTTACCACTCCAGTGGTTGAATTCTAAATGTAGGAAATATAATTTTCAGAAATTAGCAATAACAATAACTACAATATGTAATTATATTGTATTATTTCATTTATTTGTATAGCCAAAAAATAGTCTTATGTTTTTAAATTAAATTATAAAAAAATAATTTCTTCCGGAGGAAGATCGGGCAGCTAGTCAATTATATAATTTATCGATTTATCGATAGTTTTAATGAGAAACATTATTATTTTTAAATTTAAAACAATTATGAGCGCATACATGACAGTAAATATAGAAGGATATATTCCCAACCTAGAAATATTAATGAATTAAATTAATTGAGTACCTAATGAGTCAATATGCCGATTGATTTAAGGTCAATTAAGGTTAATAAATAATTATACATATTTTAATAAATAGTTTGTTTCAAAAAATATGTTAGATAAAAAATTTAAAATTGTCAATTAATGGAAATAATTTAGATAAAATATTATTATGCCTTACTGTCAAACATTTAAGTTTGTCATGTTGTATTTTATTATTTCCGATGTTTAAATTTATTTGACAATACTTTTAAATATTGCAATTTTGTTCGAGCAAACAAAATTGACTATGTTTAACTGGTGATATTGAATACGAAAGTCAACTAATCTTTAGCTGATATTCATTGGTCGACAAGATAATTGTGATCGACAAGATTATTGTATTCGATAAATTAATCTGTCTGGGAAATATTGTACGTCTTAAAATAATATTTTTGAACATTACCGAAATCGATAAAATAATAGGTTGTACACTTAGGTACAAGCTGACGTGTACCACCAAAATCCCTCTTAGGCAATTAGATTGAAGAAAGCTACTTATAGTTGAGAAGTCGCCCTCACTACTTACTCCAAAAAACTATAGTAATTATATGATTTAGAATGATTTCATGCTCGCACAATAGTCGACATTCGAACACTTCAGAATTAGCACAGACCGCGTTCGGACGCATGTGACTTGGTACGCTACACAAACGTAGGTACATAATATACTTATGTGTATAATATTACCAACCTCACACGCAGCTATTATTATGTATAATAATTACAGTCGTTTTCGCAGGGATTCGGTGTAGGTGAATTATATTTTGTAATTATTTCGAGTCGATAGCTACATTTTACGGCCGCAGAATACGCCGAAAGGAATAATAATAATAATAATACAGTGCAATAATAATAACGATATTATTATGCACCGATAGCTAATTCCGTCCACGCCGATCAACCCGTCACGGCATCACGTGGCAGTGACGAACCCCACGTTTGGTATTACGGTGCATACCCACCCTTACACTACAGCCTCGCACTGTTCCTCTAACGGAGCACACGACCGCGGTTGTGGTCACTGCACGTGGTCGTTAGGACTGCGTTCGCAGTATTTAGTTTACCGATCGGTTCACCTACTCCATGGTGTTATTATATTATACTACACACGCACGTCAGCTTGAGCACGTCACGTGTGCCGCGGTCCACCAATAGCCGTCACTCAGTGTGTTACGTGTATTGTACGATGGAGGTATGGTGGCCATAGGTAAAGTGACCAGTTCAAAACAGAACCACCGTCCTGCTTGACGAGAATGGAAGACTACGATGGACAGTTGGATGAGCACGAGACGTATGTCTGTTATTGCCGTATTTATCAGTGTAATATTATGAACCACCTGTCATCACAACGAGGGTGCTTGCATTGACCGCATATTTTGGGCGAACGTTATCTCCAATATAGCATTAAAAATATAAAAATTACTACGAATTTTGGAGCTTTGTTTTTTGGAGTTGAGACAAAATCTTTTGACGTTTTTTGTTTAATATATAAATATGGTCATTGGAACATTATATTATGGTAGCTACCTATGGGTACAACTTGTAGGTAAAACACTCCTTATCGAGTACCCACGCGAATATTATTTTTCGAAGCCGACCGTTTTTAAAGAGATAAATATTGGCGAGTTTCTATTTTGTAAATGCATGCGTAGTAAGTGTACATGACTGACTGACTTAGGGGCGTGCTCAGTCACTGACTGTCTGTAAAATAAACAGCGGTGCGTTCCCACATCTGCAAGCACGTGT